CCGCACCCCATACTCCCGCAGCACCCCCCACAAGAACCCCCGAGGAACCCGGTCGAAAGCCTTCTCCAAGTCCACAAAGCACATGTAGACTGGTTGGGCAAACTCCCAGAACCCCTCCAGTAGTCTTGCGAGGGTAAAGAGCTGGTCCACTGTTCCACGGCCGGGACGGAATCCGCATTGCTCCTCTTGTATCTGAGGTTCGACAAACGGTCGGAGCCTCCTTTCCAGCACCCTGGCATAAGCCTTCCCCGGGAGGCTGAGTAGTGTGATACCCCGGTAATTCGAGCACACTCTTCGGTCCCCCTTTTTGAAAATGGGAACCACCACCCCGTCTGCCAGTCCATGGGCACTGATCCCGACCCCCATGCGACATTGAAGAGGCGTGTCAGCCAGGACAGCCCAACCATGTCCAGCGCTTTCAGCATCTCAGGGCGGATCTCATCCACCCCCGGCGCCTTGCCACCAAGGAGCTTTTTGACTACCTCAGCGGCCTCTGCCAGGGATATGGGTGAGCCTCCCCCTAGATCTTCAGGCGCTGCCTCCTCTGCAGAGGACATGTTGGTCGGGTTTAGGAGTTCCTCAAAGTGCTCTTTCCACCGCCCGACGATGTCCCATGTCCGGGTCAGCAGTTCCCCCCCCCCCCTGCTGAGAACAGCCTGGGGTAAGCCCTGCTTTCCCTTCCTGAGCCGTCAGATGGTTTGCCAGAACCTCCTTGAGGCCAACCGAAAGTCCTTCTCCATGGCCTCCCCGAACTCCTCCCATGCCCGAGTTTTAGCATTCGCGACCACCGCAGCTGCAGCCCTTCTGGACTGCCGGTACCTGTCAGCTGCTTCGGGAGACCCCTGGGCCAACCAGGCCTTGAAGGTCTTCTTCTTCAGCTTGACGGCTTCCCTCACCTCGTCCACAATAGAGGCTTTGAACATGGTCCATTCGGATTCCATGTCCCCAACCTCCCTCGGGATGTGAGAGAAGTTCTTCCGGAGGTGGGAGTTAAAGACCTCCCGGACAGGGTCCTCCGCCAGACGTTCCCAGTTCACCCTCACTACACGTTTGGGCTTGCCGGGTCTTTCCAACCGGTTCCCCTGCCATCTGATCCAACTCACCACCAGGTGGTGATCAGTTGACAGCTCTGCTCCTCTCTTCACCCGAGTGTCCAAGACATACGGCCGCAAATCAAATGATACGATTACAAAGTCGATCATTGATCTCCAGCCTAAGGTGTTCTGGTACCAGGTACACTTATGAGCCACCTTATGTTCGAACATGGTGTTCGTTATGGCCAAACCATGGCACGCACAGAAGTCCAATAACGAGACACCATTCGGGTTCAGATCGGGCAAGCCATTCCTCCCAATCACCCCCCGCCAGGTTTCTCAATCATTGCCCACGTGAGCATTGAAGTCCCCCAGGAGAACTATGCAGTCGGTAGGTGGCGCCCTTTCCAGGACCCCTCCCACCGACTCCAAGAAGGCCGGACACTCTGAACTGCTGTTTGGTGCGTAAGCACAAACCACAGTCAGAGCCTTGCTCCCCGCAACCCGTAGGCGCATGGAGGCGACCCTCTCATTCTCCGGGGAGAACTCCAACACAGCGGCACTCAGCCGGGGGCTCGTGAGTATCCCCACTCCCGCCCGGCGCCTCTCACCCTGGGCAACTCCGGAAAAGGACAAAGTCCAACCTCTCTCCAGGAGCTTGGTTCCAGAGCCAGCGCTGTGTGTAGAGGTGAGTCCAACTATATCTAGCTGGTATCGCTCCACCTCCTGCACCAGCTCTGGCTCTTTCCCCGCTAGCGAGGTGACGTTCCACGTCCCTAGAGCTAGTCTATGCTGCCGGCGATCGGCTCGCCCAGGCCTCCCGCCTGACCCGCCGCCCGGTCTGCATTGCACCCGACCCCGATGCCTGTCCCTGCGGGTGGTGGGTCCACAGGGTGGCTGCTCCATGCTGTTTATTCGGGCTGAGCCCGACCGGGCCCCATGGGCGAAGGCCCGGCCACCAGACGCTCGCCGACGAGCTCCCCTCCTGGGTCTGGCTCCGGGAGGGTGCCCCGGTTTCCCTGGTCCGGGCGAGGTGGCTAAAGTCCGTGGGCTGCTTATTATTAGGGTTGTTTGAACCGCTCTTAGTCTGGGCTCTCCCCCGAGACCTGTTGCCTTGGGAGACCCTACCAGGGGCTAATGCCCCGGACAACATAGCTCCCAGGATCACTGAGCCACTCAAACTCCTCCACCACGTTAAGGTGGCGATTCACGGAGGACTTGTAAACATGCGCCAGTAATTCTGCAGCTGGAAATATGACATCACCTCTCTACGCTGTCACCTCCAGTAACTGATCTGAAGCCAGAGCTGCAGGGCACTGCAGGCTCGGTCACAGTATAATCAGGGATTGTAAACTGACCTTGTATGACCATAGATTTTATGGTTAAAGATTTTGCTCGAGGGGAAACTTTCCCCTTTGGGGATTGAGAATGACCTTTCGCAACAATATCAGTTATTTTGGGAGTTCAAAGTTCTGGAAGTAAAATACTCGTTCATGGATAATGTTAGGTGACTGACATTAGAGCACTTTTGAGACTTTTGAGAGATATATATGGAACTGTCCTGGTTGAATCTTTTTTTTGTAAGGCAAAGCAAGTTTATTTGTATCGTACATTTCAACAACAAGGCAATTCAAAGTACTTCACATAAAATCATTAAAAGCATCAAAACATAAGGCAAAAGAAAAGGAGATTTAAAATCAATTAAGAACATTCATTGAAACATTAAAAACAGTCATTAAAACACTAAAAAGCAGTGTAAGAAATAAAATACAGTTGTAGTAGAATGCCGGAAATTGATTAATATCCTTGAATGTGGTTCAATTAAAGGCAGCAGCAAACAGAAAAGTCTTCAATCTTGATTTAAAGGAGCTGAGGGTCTCAGCAGACCTGCAGCTTTCTGGGACTTTGTTCCAGATATGTGGAGCAGAAAAACTGAACGCTGCTTCTCCATGTTTAGTTCTGACTCTGGGAACAGAAAGTAGACCGGTCCCAGACGACCTAAGGGGACCTAAGGGGTAGCAGCAGATCAGAGATGTATTTTGGCCCTAAACCATTCAGTGCTTTATAAACCAACAGCAGGATTTTTAAGTCAATTTTTTGTTGGACAGGAAGCCAGTGCAAAGACCTCAGAACTGGAGTGATGTGATCCACTTTCTTGGTCTTAGTGAGGACTCGAGCTGCAGCTTTCTGATTGACTTTTTACAGAGACCTGTAAACACACCGTTACAGTCTACTGAAGATAAATGCACGGACAAGTTTTTCCAAATCCTGTTGAGACATAAGTCGTCTAATCCTTGATATATTCTTCAGGTGATAGGAGGCTGATTATGTAATTGTCTTGATGAGGCTGTTCAGGTTGAGGTCTGAATCCATAACTACACCTAGATTTCTGGCTTGGTTTGTGGTTTTTAACATCAGTGATTGAAGCTTTGTTTAATTGAAGAAAATTCTGGCCCATCCAGTTGTTGATTTGTTCAATGCATTTACCCAGCCCTTGTATGGGATTATAGTCCCCTGGTGATATAGTTATGTAGACTTGTGTGTTGTCTGCATAATTATGATAACACACTTTGTTTTCCATAATCTGAGCTCGTGGAAGCATGTAGATGTTGAACAGAAGAGGCCCCAGTATTGAACCTTGGGGAACACCGCATGCCATTTTAGTCAGCTCTGATGTGTAATTAGCTACAGACACAAAGTATTCTCGGTTCTTCAAGTAGGATTCAAATCAGTTAATTGCTGTGCCAGAGAGTCCCACCCAGAATTTTAGTCTTTCTAGTAGTATGTCATGGTCGACCGTGTCGAATGCAGCACTGAGATCCAGTAATACTAAGACTGAAATTCTGCCATTGTCTGTGTTTAAGTGGATGTTGTTGAAAACCTTAACAAGAGCAGTTTCAGTACTGTGGTGCTGTCGAAAGCCTGACTGGAAGACATCAAAGCAGTTATTTACGGCCAAGAAGTTGTTCAGCTGTTGAAAAGCCACCTTTTCAATTATTTTACTTAAAAATGGGAGGTTTGATATTGGCCTATCATTTTTCATTGTTGCGGAGTCTAAATTAGCCTTCTTTAGGAGTGGTTTAATAACTGCAGTTTTTAGGGCTTGTGGGAAGACACCTGAGAGAAGGGATGTGTTTACAATTTGTAAAGATCAGTGGTCATGCAGTTTGAAATATTTTTGAAAAAATGTGTTGGTAGAATATCCAAGCAGCAGGAGGATGACTTCAGATGTTGTATAATGTCTTCTAGGCTTCTACGGTCAATTGAATGAAATTGTGCAAAAACAACGGATCATAAAACTCACGGTTCGGATCGGATCACGGATCAAATCAAATTTCGTATCGGCACAAAAGAAAAAAGTGAGCAAATATAGCTTTTTTTGATGATCCATATTGTTGTTGTTATTGTATTGATTATAGCAGCTGGTCTACAAGGCTCCAGACTAACTTTTTTTTGCCACCGTCCCAAAAATCAATTCAACTGAAGACTGTAAACCATCAAAAATTCTAAATGTTATCCATTTATTTTACTTATAGTGTTTTTTCTTCATAAAAACACTCAATTCAAATGATAATGAAATAAGATTGTATTTTTATGAATTAAAACAAATCCTTTCATTAGTAGTTTAATGATGTATTATTAGAACTAGTGTAAACAGCTCATAATTCATCTCTAATATCTATTTTATATTAATGTGAAAACATCTCCTTCAAACAACTGGATTTATTCAAGTTTCTCACCAAAATTTTACAGATTACATATGAACACATCATGATGCCATTATAATTTACCTTTGCCCAATACTCACTTAACTGAACAGAGCCTGAACGCATCATAATGTAAGTGAATGGAAACTTCGTTCTCCTTGTGTTAATTCAAACACTGATTAGTTGTTTACAATGTAACATTATCAGAGATCTGTATCTAGAAAAGCATAAATGATGTCCTCATCAAGTTTTACTGAATATTGGCAGATAACGATCGTCAGTAAAACTTTATTTCACACTGTGATGATTAACGTTAAACTGTGTAATTAATCTGCGGTTCACATGCGTGTCAAACCGTGAGGGTGGATCCGTATGGATCACGGATCAACAATGGTCCGTTACTCCACTCGGAATGATATAGTACAAGCTTGAATTCCTTAGATATAGCTATGCCGTGTTGTAAGCAAACTTGATGGCATGCAGCAGATAATAAAACATGCATTACAACCATAAGAGACTGGAGACTTCACTTGGACTTGTGACCAAGGACTCGAAACTTGAGTTGGACTTGAGAGCAAACACTCAAGACTAGACTTGGACTGGTGATTAAATACTCAAACTTGACTTGGACTTGTAACCAACAACTCAAGACTAAACTTGGATTTTTGACCAAAGACTCAAGAATTAACTTGGACTTGTAACCAACGACTCAATACTTGACTTGGACTCCAGCTCAAAGACTTAAGACTTGACTTGGACTCTAGCTCAAAGACTTGAGACCTGACTTGGACCTGTGAACATCTCTACTTCTTGCTGATATCAGACTTCAGTCTGCCCCTCAGCAGTGAAGCAGCTGGATTAAGTTTAGTTGATTGACATTCCAATGTATAAGATTATTGAATTGTCCAAGAAAGGGCTACAAGTCTATTTTTTAACTTCACCAAAGTCAGAACTTTACTCAGACTGTTTGATTTCAAATCCAAAGTGCTGAGTAGAGCCAACAGGATAAGAAAGTCTTACCGTCTGCCGTATCTGCAGAGTGTATTGTATGTATTGTTTGGATTTTAGGAATGAAGCTGATCGATTATCAACACTAACAAAAGCTTGCAAACCATTAACATAAAGAGGAACAGAACAAAGAACGGGAAATAAACATCGTCAATTTATTTTCACTCTCACCTCTCATGCCTCCCCAGCTCTGGGAGTCTGCGTCCACTTCATCATCCACCATCTCAGCAGCCTATAGGAACACAAACACGTGTAACCACAGACAAGTTAGACCTTTATGCAGATGTTCGTGCTTTCTCCATGGTACCAAGAATATTGCTGGTCTTCATCAAAGCCAGGATTCATCTGAAAGCCTTTTGCTCATCAGCCTCTTGATGTGCTCCCATTCTTTCAGGGAGACCAATAGGAAGTGAGTGTGACACATTCTTCTCATATAAGCTTATATCACTTAGTTCGGAGTGACTAAAACGTGTCTAAATAGAGAGGGAAGAACTGATGTTGAAAGAGTGTTTGTTGTTTGTCCACCAATAGAGCTAATCAACTAACAAATTGCATTGACATCTATCCATGGGATATATTTTCTATCCCCCCAAAGGGGGTGTGGCCTAATCGTTTTGTGAAGTACCCATATGTGCTGGTCTGTTCTATGCTTGTAGATAAGAAGTTATGAGCTAGAAAGGTAAAGTGTGATGCTTTTATTGTGTTGCGGCTGTTGTCCATTAGCCAATGATTAGTTATTGTTCTGTTTAAAAAAAGAATGATTCATTCTATACAATCAGACTTCTATTTGCAACCTGCAGAGTCACACTTTTCAAAACTGGAGGTTACTGCAATATACCTGCAAACCTTATGGGATTCCCATCAGTCTCAGCTACACTTTGTGTTCGGTGCCAATTAGCAAATGTGAAATTGCTAACATGCATTGCTGAGATGGTGAACATGGTAAATGTCTGAAACATCAGCATATTAACATTGGCCTTGTGAGCATGTTAGCACATTGACCGTAGCATTGCGTTTAAAGCATCACTGTGCTTAAGTACAGCGCCACAGAGCCACTAAGTGTGACTGTAGACAAGGCATGTCATTTATGACAAATAATTACATAGTTAAGTGCAATTTAAATTCCGTTAAACTTTAAATTGATATTAAGCATTATGTCATTCCATATCTAAGCAATGTGCTTGCACAAAAAAATACTGTATATTGCAAGTATAATGTTAAAAAGCACATTTAATAGAAAAAAATCTCTCCCCATTCTTCTTCCAACACACTAAATCCACCATTTCATCAACACTAACCAGTAACAGTATATATATATATATATATATATATATATATATGTTTCTGTCATGGCTCCTGATCTTTCATTTCCCTCTCTGTTCTGTTTTGTCTGCCTGTCCTGTATCCATCAACAAACACAGAGGGAGAGCAGCAATATTACTTCAGGGGATGACAGACTAAATACCCCCCCCTCATAATAAACCAGAACCCTGTCTGTGCAGGGTGATTGGTACTGACTGACCACTGCGTCATCTGATACTAAAACTGTGAGAGAAAAGCTTGACGAATTTTTTTTCTTTAATGAAGAAAAATTTGTAAATGGACTTAAATGCTGCTCGGAGTTTTCCTGTGTTGATCAGTAAGGGGTGGGGGGATGTGCAAGGTAGGAAAGTGTGGTGTAAACATATGCTGTAAAGACTGAGGCCTAATTGACTACTGTAACACAGCTGGTGAGAGTTTGGTTAAGAAATAGCATCACCAAGCGGTTTCAAAGAAAGCAACGTCAGATCCTCCAAACACCTCAGTCAATGACAACTCTTTCTCTGTTGAAGCAGCCAAAGGTTTAAAGGTCCTCTAATCTGTGGGTGTGCTTGGTTTGGTGACAGGCACACCCCAATTCACGTTTCAGCTTGTGGCCTTCATTGGGTTCAGTTTTGCTTGACTTTTCCTTCTGCATGCACCTTGGAGGTAGGTGAAGCTATGCCAGAAACCTGTGCTCTGACTCACAAGGGTGTCTTACCCTTGTGAGACTTTATGCAAACCCTAATCAAGCACACCCCTTGCTGTGGCTCGAGCCTTGCCAAGTCTTTATTATGCCGGACTACAATAAAATGGGAACAAGGGATACTGGTTAAAATTGAATTAGGGTTAGGGTATTGTGTTACTTTGGCTTGATGGAAATATTTCCATCAAGCCAAAGTAACACAATACCATAACTGACTATGCCATCTTACATCAGGATATGCATATCCTGATGCGAGACGGCATAGTCAATGGTTTAGGCTACTGTTTGTATAAGGTAAAAGATGTAAGGAACAACTAGGATTTATTAAAGTTTGGGTTTTATAATCTTAGCTCTGGTAAAAGTACTTCCTGAGATCTCAAGATGCAGAAAAAAAAGACGATCAGACAGATTGTAAGCAAATCCCCAAGTTACTCCAACCTATTCGGAAGAGACACACATTTCCTGAGTAACTGGACTGGTGACGTGCTCAGAGCCGATCAGCTATTGGCTACAAAAATGTGACCACAAAACAATCTTTGGTATTTTTTTGAAAAAACACCAAAAAGTAAGGACTTGATTGACTTGACTTGATTTGGATTGATGTGCACTACTCTGTTTCTTCCTTAGGGTGCCTGTTTCTTTCAATATTTTGAAGTAATTTTGAAATGTCGCAATAGTGGCTTGAGCTCTGACTAAATTAAGAATATGTGCAAGGACAGTTTTTGGCCGATATGTCTAAATTACAGGAAGCATGGATTGTTTGAAGTACGTGCTCATTTCCTATGAGCCTACTGTGTGTGCATTAGTGCAGAGATTTGGCAGCTCACCTTGTAGATGCCATTCCTTCCATAGCCGGGTAAGGATGCAGACTTATTGTATGGGAAATCTGCCAAGATAAAAAAAAATTGTCATTCTCATGTCTTTTTTGAGTGACCCGTCAATATCAATTTTTTTTTATTCTTGCCACTCACACCAGGCTGAACTTGAGATCAGCTACTCACTAGGCTGGGAGGTGTCAGTAGGCAGACTGCAGGTCGATTTGCGGGGGTCCAGGTCTTCTGGACCCATCTGTCCATCAATCTCACTCTTCAAGATCATCCAACTGGTCCTCTACAAAGAGAGAGAGAGAGAGCGAGAGAGAGCGAGAGAGCGAGAGCCAAAGGGAGAGAGAGAGACGGAGAGAGGGGAGAGAGAGACACGGAGAGAGAGAGAGACACGGAGATAGAGAAACAGAGATAGAGAAACGGAGAAAGAGGGACAGAGAGAGAGACGGAGAGAGAGAGAGACACACAAAGAGAGATAAAGAGAAATGAAGAGAGACAGAGAGAGGGAGACAGAAAGGGGAGAGAGAGGGGAGAGAGAGATGGAAAGAAGTGATGGATGATGGCAAAGTATGAGTTAGTGAATTAGTAAATGGATGAACAGCATTTATAAAACAATGATTGAAAAGTAACAGATTACACACACACACACACACACACACACACACACACACACACACACACACCCACCTTGCTATCCTCCCCATCCTGCCAGGATGTTCTAGAAGCTGTAAAACAGTCAGATGTTATTGTGCTGGACCATCTGCCTCTCAGGTACTCTGTGCTGAACTATTAACTCTACAGCAAATCAGCCCTGGACCATGACATCACATCATCTACATGGAGTGGGATGCAGCCATTTCTTTCAATGTTATACATAGAGGTCTGCACTGACATTTTGGGAGTCTGACCCATTGGTCACCAGAGCGAGATATCCTAACAACTACAGTCCTGTTTACAATGAAAATCAGTAAAGATATCTATGGTCTCGTGAGGATCTGAACCACTGGCCTTGGTCAAAACTTTCCCATGACAAAATATTTTGATCCATGACACTAAATGGCTGGATTTCGATGAGATTTAAATAATCTTTCTTCCCAGGAAGAAGAGGATTAAATATATATTTTGTTGACCTCCTTCCCCTTTCTCTAGTGTCACCATCACCACTTGTAGATATATTTACATAGAATTAATAAATACATTATTATTAATAATACATTTTTTTAACTCTGCGCAAGCGTCATCAGAGCAGTGGCAAAACATATAAGGGATATATAGAGGGCAGTTTCTCCACTGGAAGGGCATCCTAGAAGGCACTTCATCATGTTTTCTTGACCGGAGGGGAGCCCTTAAGGGTATTTCATCATGTTTACTCCACGGGAAGGGCACCATAGAGGGCACTTCATCATGTTTTCTCTGTTGGAGGAGCATCCTAAAGGGCACTTCACCACATTTTCTTCAGCCCCTATGTCTCTAGGTAAGAGAGGCCCGAGGCCCGCTAGGTAGACTTTGCAGATTAAAGTATATTGGGACGATATTGTTGATTGTCATAGTGTTCAACCAATCACATTTTTAGTTTGACATGTTGTACGTATTCTTTGACATGTCAGAGCTTTCTAGGTAGCCTACAAGTACGTCAGCATTAACATGCAGCTCAGCATTAACGTGCGGCGTGATTGGTCAGTGGGCTAGCGTGACTGTTGTGAAGCAGAAAGCTAGCTAGCAGAACTTAGTAGTAAGAGTTCAAGTTGAAAGATATGTAAGAAGTTATGACATTGACATGACATTTTTAGCGTTTTGCTTGGTGGAGATTCTTTTTTTTTTATCTAGCTTTGTTTCATACACTCATTGGCTGAAGGAGGAGGAGAAACGGATTTGGTGGCGGAGTTACTGGCAACGCCTTTCTCAAGAAGGACATTTCAGGAAAAAATGGACATCGTATCAAAGGGTCGGCAAACCACACAGCTAGCAGCCCTGACCCAGCATGGAAAAGGATTTGTAGGAACGGTATTCCTGGCTGAGAGCATCGGATAAGCGTTGAACATGTTATGGCTAAGAATGTGTTTCATTTGCAACTGAGCGTCTTGGTGTGTGGAGCTGTTTGGAGCTACGCTAACCAAGGCAGCAACACGACACCATAGCACAACAGGACACTTACAAGCTACGGTGCTTTTGAAAACTTTTGGAGAGACCCGAGTGGATCTACAACTCAACGAACACGTTTGCAGGAGGGCCTCTGATTGGAACTGAACTGAACCGATGTTCTGAACAACTGCGGTTAACAACTCTTCATTAACAAAGAAAGGAGGATGGACTTTGTCTTTAAGTGAACAGCAGCTTTGGTAAGTGAAGTGGTTTTGTGTTTTTACATCTGCAGTAGCGTTACTACTGTGTTAATTTGTCAATCGTGTCATTTTTATGATATGGTTAATATTGTTCCCTCTGATGTGAATAATATTTGAATGGCCCGTGCTCTTTAGTGTGTGGTGGAATGCATGTTTTAGCGCTGCAGTGTTGCTGGATTAATTTGTCATGCTTTGTTGTCATATAAATATATGTGACTGGTTCTTGTGAGTTTGTTCTTGTCATTGTGTTAATGACATTGATTTTGACTATATGCATTGTCCGTTAATGACGAAGCATCCCGTCATGCGCGGGTTAGGGTCGGACATTTGATTCTCTGTTTGGGCTTTTGTTTTCTTTTACAAAGCAAGAATGATGATCTGGAGAAATGGGGATTGTGTGGCGATTGCTTTAGGCCTGTTTGAATCAGTAGAGAACAGCTAAATGCTGCGGGGAGAGTGTAGCTTGTATGCTGCTGTTGGTTTTCCTGCTAAGCTACTTTAGCGCGCCTCCCAGAACAAATGCGCCACACCAGGGTACAATGTTATGGTTTCGGGGTCAGACAGCATGTTGCCAGGTTGAGCAAAGTCCACTGAAAACATATATTTCCCACAATTTAAGCTTCTGCATTTTCCAAATGCAATACTATTATTCAAACGCATTGTTCGGTTCATAAGCCACGTACCGAACAATTTAATACGAAAACGTGTATTGTTACACCCCTAGAAACAAATAATAACTGTAGCTGTGGTGTCATAATGAGGTTATTAGGAGGTGGTTCAACTGTATTAGGACAGCACAGAAGGCCCAGATATGAAATGCATGGCCCGCCACTGGTAAATACCCCACCCATACATTTTTAAGCTTTTATGTGTTTCAAAAAAGATGGTTGCAAACAAGTGTCCAAATTAAACTACTAAACATCATCATGCCATACATTAGTCTGCCGTTTGCTTAGTGGGGGTGACATGAAGTCACGCGACCGCGGTGTAGTTCATTTATAGCCTAACATTAGCTTTTTACTTCTGGCGGTTGCATTTGGCTTAAAAAGTCATAAAAGTGTTAAGATTATCATGCTCACCAAAACCTGTAAGTATCATAAACGTTTGTTTGTCACAGAGCTTATTTATGTTAAATCTATGCTAACTTCTAGGTTTGTCTACAAAACTATGTCATCCCTGCAGCACTCTATAAAGTCTAGTAGGTGTCATGGAGAAAAACAACCGACTGACCCAATTTATAATCTGTGCTATGGAATCAATAAATCCTGCACACAAATAACTCAAATATTCAAACTCTCTGTTTACTTAATCCAAGAGCCTCATTAAGCTTGTCTATGGCCGGACAATTTAATGAGTCTGTAACAATCAATGTCAATTTACTGTAACAATAAGAAATTAAGTTACAAGTTGTCATATTAATATTGTATGTTCTCACTCTCATTACATTTGTCCTTGTCCATTCATCATTCCTTTTTTGTTGTGATGTTACATTGGACGTTGTTTCAGCAATACTAGCTAGCTATAAGTTAGCTGCACACATAACACTGTATAACCTAATACGGTGCAAATTAAACAGTGTTGTCAGGTTGTCAGGCCAAGGAAAATGTCATCTTAATGAACTGCTTTGATTTGATTTTGGATATACTTCAAACTGTTTGCATGCAAAACAAAATTGTGTTACATTTGCCCTCCCTTCTACATACCGTTTGTTATCCATACTATTGTTTAATGTTATGGTATGTGAATTAACATTCCATGAGCACAAATTAATTGGACAGGATGAATCCTTTCTTTTGGACAATTTTAAGATCACCTAACATACTGCATGCTAAAGCATTACCATATGGAATTAGTTATCTAGATAACGTTGGTGAATACCCTCTTATCATGTATCAAATAACTTAACCAATTCCCACAAAAGTTTTGTAAGTGCAGTCCATTGTTCACAATATTTCACTTTACACAGCTCCATGGTTAAAGCACAAGGAGCAGTCTTAATCAGGACCCACAGACAGTGGTTAGGGGAGAGAAAGAGATTTGAACAGTGATCAGCACTACACTAATGACACTTCACATAGTGAATCATGTACCTAACCTCTCACAGTGGAAAACACAGTCACAGCATCACCACGAAAACCAACAAATGAGCTGGTGAGATGAGTGCAGACATGCATGAACGAGGTGAGCAAACTACTGTAACACCCAAGAGCCCCAATTCCAACAACCAGTACCAAATTAGTTGTAATGTCAAAATAAATAGTCAACATGACATAGTGTTGCAATGTCAGATCAGATATTGGAATTTAACGGGAGGGAAGAACTCTTTGTTACCAACTCTACACTGCATCACAGGGAGCAAAAACTGCTGCTGCTGTTAAGAGTCTGGCAACACCCCAATCAGTGATGTCACAGAAAGTGTTTTTCATTTGTAACCTAATGAAAAACATCTCCTGTGACATCACTGATTAGGGTGTGGTTAGAAACGCAACATATTTACTGTTAATGTTTCAACATCTGGAGGCCAGGGTCAATTGTTGCTTTCTTGCATCAAAACCTTTGTTTTGCAAAATTCCACGTTTCTTTTGTTTTGTTTTGTCACACATTGCCCAACATCCTAATGTTCAACCTTGATTTTTTTTTATAACATACAGTGGGTGCAGAAGGCTTACACCAGCCTTATGCATGTAGATCCATGGAGTCTACTAGATGAGTGAAGGCTACAGCAAAAAGGGAGGAGAACTGGGATAAACAGATGACTGGCAGGCGACATGCAACACATCGTGCAGAGACCAGACCAGAGGTTGAAGTGTTAAGAGGAAGTAGACTGTACCATGCTGTTTGTAGATGGGGGGTTTTCTATAGATATTATCTTTGACCAGAGTCTCTGAAGATGTGAACAGACGCAGAGGAAAGAAAACGGAAGAAGCCAACATGGGAGGGAGAGAAAGAAAGAGAGAGAATGGAGAAAAAGATGCATGAGTTAGCAGTTATTGAGGTATGAGATATTTTGAAGAAGCAAAAAGGGGGCCGCAGAATTCAACACAAGACATTTGTCATAAATATTATGGCACATCAGAAACATCAGCACTTTTAATATTATTCATGCAACATATTCAAAATATATCAATATCTTGTTTTTTGTTAAAAGGGAAGTTTTTTGATACAGAAAAATCCTATGGCACTCAAAGAATAATATCAGGAACCACACATGGCCCTCCGGCATCAATCAGTCTACTTGTATTAGCATTCTTAAGAGATTGTCAAATAAAGAAAGGGCCCCATAATTGATAATGTACACATCACAAGAATATAGAAAGTTGAAAGTTAATGTAAGTCTTGTTGCATCAACCCTGGAGGACAGAATGTTTTTCCCTGAGGCTGATCTAATCCATCTTACTGTCAGTGGACTCTTGCAGAGATGCTTAGTAAAAACTGTCACGCATTAAGTCACAGCAGAAACATGACTCACAATAAAACAACCCATGTGTGTCCATTTCCCTGGCTGGTTTCAGTGGCTGCCAGTATCTGGAACAATACCCATATAAAAAGCAACAAGTACGACAGTGGTGGGCTGTCAGGGCCTTCAAGGCCTTCTCTGCTGGTCTAAACAGAATCATAAAGTTATAGCTATTTTATAATTTAATATCTTTTCTTAAATACACTACATGTTTTATAATTTATAAAAATATTTTTCCCATTATCTTATTTTCTCATTGCACAGCTACTGTCTTCCTCTGTTGCTCTGCTTCCAGTGCAGCTTGTTTTAAGTAGAGCTTTTATCCAATCAGATCTCACCTCTGTGTCTCTAGGTAAGAAGAGAGGCCCGAGGCCTGCAGACTCACAAGTGAATCCCTTTGCACTTTAACTGAATGGGGATGATATTGTTGATTGTCATAGTCTTCAACCAATCAGATCTTTAGTTTGACATGTTGGGCGTATTCTTTGACGTGTCAGAGCCTGCTAGCTGGCCTAGCCATACGTGATTGGTCAGTGGGCTAGCCTGACTTGTTGGGCGGTGACAATCCCAATATCTGCTGTCTCTGTCGAGCGGACATCTTCAGCCCTCAAAAACGCATTAAAACGTATTCAAGAAATACAACTGGGGAGGCTCGACTGTCTTCACTGGCGTCCATGAATCGAGAAGGACTTCTTACTGGAACTAAAACACACGGATGTACTGAACAACCGTGAGATTAAACTCTTTATTAACAAAGAAAGGAGGATGGACTTTGTCTTTAAATAGTGAACAACAGCTTTGGTAAGTTAAATGTGTTTGTTTTTACATCTGCACTAGCTTTAATATGCTTGTTTATACATTATTATTTGTACAACTTGTTTTTATGAAGATGGATTTTTGGATTTTTGTTTGGTTTAAAATATGATAGGAACCACTGTTACTCTGTTGCTCTAGGGACATATTTAGCCGGTGCCAGTGTTGGCAAATTGCTCGCCAATCTGGCGACTTTCCAAACCCTCATGGCGACTTTTTTTGTCAAAAGCTACTAGCGACAAATCTAGCGACTTTTTCTGGTGTTATTGGAGACTTTACTGATGTTTTGACTGTCGTGAACGAGCAGCGGGTTGCTGCCGTGAGTCCCAAGTGCAGTCAGAGAAGAGGAGACGCACTCTTGGCGTATTCTCTGCAGTTAGTGCAGTTAGGTGTTGGCTTAATTTTTACACAAAATAAATAATAACCGTAGCTGTGTTTCAGCTGCAGGACAGCAGTGAAGGCCCAGGTATAAAATGCACGGCCCGCCACTGAAGTACGATGACTATGAAAGCCATTAAGTAGATAATCTTTGGCTGTTTTTCCACTTAACTTGCTTCCAACATAAGAGTTATTTTTCTGTATGAGTGACAGATTTCCCTCTGTGAGACAGTGAACGGAATGAAGGATATACTGTTCGTCAACTCCTGTTCACATGCAGTGTAAATTCTATACTTAATGATGCAATCTCTTGTCAGATCATTGCTGTGGCATAAAGAAATTGCTTTGAAATTAGCAAACAGTAAAAAAAGAGCCCTAAAATATAGAGAATACAATCCATAAGCCAAAGGCAACTGTTGACTATACACAACAAAGACATTGGGCATCATGCAAGAACCGCTCATACTAACAGATCCAATCTTAGGATGCACAAATGAAGGATTTCAGGGAACTTGGCTCGAAGGTTGAATTTTGTCTTACATTTTTGTGAATGAAACTGGAGGACGGAGTGGACCATCTATTATGTCAACGAGGAAATCCCACAAACACGCAACTTCTCATGTACAAGTGGCAGTCATCAAGTTGAAACAAGCTATTTACCACAAGTTTTTTCAGTTCATATAATTTTCTCAATCAGACTTACTGAACCTCACAAAAAGTGAGAGGTTTAGGATAAAAATAAAAAAATGTTCTTGCATGAGGGCCCTTAACAAACACACGTTGATAGCTTCAGAAGACTTATCTGTATGTACCTGGAGAGAAATAAGTCCCAATAACTGGAAAATTAGTCAAATCTGGTCAAAATTAGTATATTTGTTAAACATATAAAAATCTTTCCTAACCTCCAAGGGTTGAAGTTTTAACCTATCTGCAGTAATGTAGAAATGCTGTGTGGGTAGTACACCCAGCATCACTGTTGGGTGAGTTAGAGATACAACTGACTTTGAACTCAGTCCCAAGAGGTCAGCTTGGTGTTAATGTATTGGTTGGTAACCTAACCTAAACCTTAGTATCAAATCAAATAATGACATTTCCTTTTCTGCAAGAGATTATAACAGTGAATGTAACAGTGTTTTTAGTGTCACTAATGACAGCATACTCTAGTCTATATAATGCATAAAGATGTAGGAAAAATTAAGTTGAGTTGTAAGCCAAGCGGTGCGGTTATGGCCTACCTGGTACGTGGAAATGCCGGGGAGCAGCCACGTATGTAGAGGAAGGGGATTTGCCATCAGAATAGGTGGATAAGCTGGGGGTACTCCGACCACTTTCACTACCTTCAGTTGGGGACAGAGTTTGGTGGGCATTGGATGAAAAAAGCAAAAGGGAAAAGGTGTAGGGGAAAACAAAGGGTGTTGGGGGGGCGAAAAAAAGGCAGCATTAAGGTAAGAATATTAATAACGCTCAAATATGAAGCTTTGATCACATTACATTGATGCAGGTGACTTGATAACCCAGCCATTTACAGTATTTGTATATTATACTGAAACAATGTCTGACTTTTAAGTAGAGAATCCTACCAGCCTACTGATCTGTTAAGTGATGAGAGACAAAAATCATCCAGTATACATTTTGAATGCTACCACTCTTGCATAAATAAAATTACAGCACGTTGTCCCTCTGCCCAAATCTTTTTTCCCCCAGTGGCGTCCTCCAGATCTTCTTGGAGAGCCCCGAACATTAGTTGAGCTTGGTGATGTAATCTCTCCATAGTATCCTGAAGTTCCCCTTTAGGTGTCCAGACAACGACAGGAAGGCGTCTGAACCACCTCATGTGGCTCATCTCATTGCCAAGCAGCAGCTACTTTTACATAGATAGAGACCACCCATCCTCACCGAAACCACAATTATATCTCCAATTATATTTGTTTTACCCAAAGCTTATGTCTATAAGAGGGCTGGAATGAAGACCAATGGAGCTCCTGCTCACAACCACAGTCCAATAACCTCTGGTGATGCTTATAAGCCGAAGCCAATGTTAGTCCTTGTTTGGGTAAAAATAATAACGGAAGGGCCGTTATTGAAGTACACAAGTTACGTGTTTATACTTCCAAGTTCTTGATTGCGTGGATTACAGACGAAATAACGTCATGCTGCTTTACAGTACAAACTGCATTACACTGCATTGAAGCCGCTGAAGTAACTCCCGCTCCTGCCCATTGAACGCAGACTGGCTAATCATAGCGCAAAATCAGCCAGCTACGACCCGGGTCCGACAACTATCCGTCTCTGTCCGATCCTCTCTCATACAATTGGTTCTGATTTTCTACATTTTCATGCTGGTTTTGTGGATTTGGAGCTAGTCATGGTTAAACGTTGTGAAATAGTAAACTCGTTAGCTTCTATCTTTAACTTTTTAACCTGTTTTTGCTGCTGAATCAGTTTGACATATATCCTTTAAAAGCATATTGTAGACCCTTCTGCCTGCTTCTCTCCGAAATCAAATATATTCAGGATTAGTGACAGTGTGGCTCTGACAGCTTGATAGAGGAGCAGTGGGGCAGGGCTTAGCGAAGGGTCAATTACTTCCCACTTAGCTTTAGAGCTAAATGCTAATAGTTCTTGTTAGTGGTAGTATTAGTACCAGAGCGATGATTTACCTGGAAGGAATGGATGATCCTGGAGATTTAGTTCTCATCACTTTACACTACAAAATCTCAACTTATTCTGAATATTTTTATGATTATTATTATTAAGTGTAGGTGCAAAAAATACCACTGAAAGTTAACCTACGGGTTTTATTACATCGGTCTAGGTTTTAGGTGCTTAAGCGTAGACATAAAATACATTTACATTTTGCTGACTGCATGCATGTGTGTGTTGTGTATCCATGATCACAACCAGGGTCCGACCCATTGTGTTACATCACAGGCAGGCTGGGTGATGGAGTCACTGACACCCTTAAGACCAAAAGTAATAAACACTCTACATCCAGAGTTTTGGGTAAGAAACAGGGAGGGAGAGAGAGAGATTGAGAGAGAGTGTTAGCTGAGTGAACACCCACTCTTCTCCCTCAGACAAAGAGGAACCATCGGCAGCGATCTGGATGCAAGTGGATGAGATCACTGACATACACAGCTGTGCCGTTAGTGCTGGTAAAATATAAAACATCTGGAGCTAAGGTAGGAGGTGATGGATGCGTGGGGAGTTAGGGAGGAGATGAGATAAATTCATCTGAACAGATTGCACATTTGACAATAAGTGGAGCCAATTCATTAATCATAAAACAATAACTTAATAAGAAAATATGAAAGATGGTTTGGGGATCATTAACAAGAAATCATGGAAATAAAAACAAATGCATGCATTATTCATTCCTAAACTCTTCTTTAATTTCCATCATTCGACAACATCTAAATACAGTGTTGCTTAAGTCTTACTACCACAGCAACTTCTATAAGGAAACCTGATAGCTCTTTAAAGCGTGAGCCTTTTGCCTGTTGAAAACAAATAGACGTCTTTCACGGTGTGTTAGGAACCGCTAGGGCCTGAACCACGCCAGCGGCACACTGTCTTTTATGCCAATGCAACTGGCAACCAGACCCCAAATTACTGCTCGGCCCGCTCCTCCGTTCCCCCTCCTCTCTTTCATCTTCCCCATCAGAGAACTCCCCTCTAAGCCTCTCCACCCTGTCATGGAAAAACCACCAAAACCCTGGACCGCGTGTTCGTGATATTCTGTGCAAATGTTCGAGTGGAGGCTCATGCTGCTTCCCTCTCTAGCTCTTCCTTTTAATCAGCAAGGGTCCAAGCAAGCACGTGTCAGAGAAATGTGTTCCTGCTGTAGGGGTTCTGTACTAAATGACTCAACCTACATGAGAACTTCTTGTTGCTGTTGGAACTCTTCAAATTAGGGCTGTCACTTTTAAAAGAAACTTGACCTTCAATTAGTTATGATCTATTTAAATAGAAAATGTACAGTGTATGAACGCAACAGGACTTGCCTTGAAAACTCTTGTGTAGCAGAAGCAGGGGGCATGTATAAAATGATCAGTCGTACCGTTTGTATTAAAATATGTGTAATTATGAGTCCCACTGCTCTTCATGGCAAGATCCGCCCTGCATCGCTGTTTGAGGCGGAGACGATTGGTTGAGGTGAGACATTGACCTTGAGTAGCAGGTGTCAGGAGAGCTAGGGCATAGGACCCGAACAAGTCAGGTCACCAGTACAGTTATTTGTATGGTTCTAAAAAATGTATTTAGTTACAACATCATTCATAGTTTCCTCTAAAGTCTTATTTGAACTAGTGGTGTATTTTTAATTATTCTTATCTGTTGTAACATTGAGTGAGGATGACATTTGACTAGTATACCAGATATACAGTCTCAGAAATGGTGCTGACTCATCCCTATATTTTAGTATTTGTCAGTGCTTTGGTAGAGGGAGCTGTTTCCAAGGAATGCATTTGCTGATAATATTATTTCATGTGCTTCAAAAAATGACTTTCTAATCACCCTGCCTGGAAACCTCAAAGTGTCTTTTTATCAGTCATCAAAACACAAAGTCTTTCATATTCATATCAAGGACTTAAGCAGGTTATCACCAAAGAAATAAAGTCTTGACATGACAACAAACAAGTGGTCATTCAGGAGAAACAACAGGGGAGATTAGAAGTCAAAAGCAGGCAAACAATCAGGTCAACAACTTGAAGAGACAAGCACAAAAATGTCCCTCCCTCCTAATGCCATATGTATCAGGGTCAAGCTAAACCATGCACGACAACAACCACGTCCACAGACACAAGTGAACAGGGCAAGCAGAATGAGAACTTGGCCTACTAATGTACCAACACCACGATATCGGACAACATCACAAAACCTGCTAACCATTCCACTGGGGGAGGGGAGACACAGAGAAGAGAAAGACTAGTGGTGTTTTTACCGTTAGGAGGAGGTAAACTGAGATGCAGGGATGTCCTAGGTTTAGGGTCAGGTAGGGGGTCCTGTTTGAACCCTGAGGGGTGAGGAAGATCAGGGGATGGGGAGGGAAGATGAAGCAAAGGGAGGTGGTTGGAAAAGCCTTTCTGCAGGGGTTACAGCGTGCAAGGGGAATGTATACAGCACTGGTTTGTGATGTTGATTTCAGGGGTGTGTGGTATTATGAATATAATTAGCAGTTTTATGGCTTTGGTTCAAGAAATAAGGAAAATAAATATTCCTGAGCCAAACAGTGGTTACAGATCCAAAGGCGGCGCACACCAGGTCAGGCGCTCTGTTTCCCATTATGACTCATGGGTCTATGGTGAGCCGAGAGACCCAGAGAGTGAGTTTCCAACACATGGTTAATTTGGTGCTTAACCACAGCCCATGCTGTGTCAGTTCAACGGTTGTATCACAGCACTCCACTCTTTCGGACCTTCGGTCTCAGTCAAATACAGAGAGGACTGGCACTTGCTGCTGTGGGGAAACCAGTTTTAGTTTCATGCTTTTGATCCTAAATCCAAGGTTTTGTATGCTTCTGTTCTATTTGGTGAACACATGGAAACCTAGCTTTTGGGGCACTTTGAACCCCCTTTCAAATAAGAGCTTTCTGGTAGATCTTGAATAGGCTGACGGTTTAATTTTCTGTCTAAGGTTAGGACAACAGTAATGATTCCAGCAAGTGGTCCATTGTCTGTATTGGACTAGTTCTGGGTCTCAGCGGGCTTTGATACCTCTGAAGTAAGGGATGTAGTTGTGCTGCTGCAGCATGGCCAGGGTGGTAGGGTTTAGGTGAAAAGACAAGCCTGCAATGCCACCTACTGGTGTGGGCGAGTACTTGCCACTACCTCCACCTCCACCATCACCACCACTCCCTTCAGTCCCAGCAGCATAGTACACAGGGAAGGAAGATGATTCCCTGGCCCAGGTGGACGGGTACTTAATTGCACCCATGAGGGTTGGAGGCAAAGGGAGAGAACTGGAGTCATGGGCCTGGCTGCTGTGTCTACCACCAAGGTATACCTCTGGCCCTGAATGTCCAATCAGATCACAGGAAACATGTTGAGTCAATGGCTAAACGTGTGAAGGTGTTAAGTTTCGTGGAAATATTAGGAATAGTACATGTGGTACATTTACAAAACATCAACATCACACCGTACACATCACAAGCCTTAAATATTGATCTAAAAGCTCATGATATTTTAGTTGTGTATAAATGAGAGGCCCATTTCAATTTCATAAAGCAAGCCCTATCACCCTCTTCAAATGGTAAAATAGGAGAATTAATGAGACAAGGCATTGGCATAAGTTCTAAGACGGACTTTATCAAGCGTTTTCGAGTAGGAAAACAGTGTGTGACGTATATTTGTAACTACTGTTGTGCCTAGGTTATCCTCTTCAACCTGGTGCCTTTATTACCACAATTTAAGATTTAACTTGATCACAGACAGTTCGGTCGTAATGCGTGTGTAATGCTAGTGGCAGCTAATATAGCCTGAAGCAGCAGATATGAGCAGCTACAGAGATCTGCTGAGATCATTTCTTCTCATCTCCACACCTCCAGCTTTAGATTTTAAAAACTTCAGACCCAACTGAAATTGATTCAAGTGACATCACTTATCAGACTTCCCACAGCTCCCTCTGACACTAAAGACTCTATACTACTTTATTTTATTTACATAGGCAGTAATACTTCCTAACACCTCGAAATACACTTTGACGTGTAAAATCTGTGGACTTCCACTTACAACATTTTTTTTTTTAGCAAAGCAGGTGACTTGCCAATATTTACTTAACAGCTTACAGACACATTGAGAAATGTGAGATTTAAGCTATGCATTGATTTTGGCATTATGTTCTTGCATATACAACACATTATCATACCCAACTGGTCAAATCCCAACACTTGGTCAGTGGCCCTAAGCTTCAAACTGTGATGCTCTAGGCACCCCTCTAGCGTCGGTTTTGGATCAGGAACGGCGTGTCCATTTTGTTTCACATGAACAACACCAACGACTCTAGTGCCCAAAGACTGACACAACGAAATGTCAATGTTTACTTTCAGTTTCGCATGGGACAAGAATAGTGTAATTTCCTTCCCACCAACTTACATCAGTTGCTCTGAGAGTCAAATAATGACTTGGATGGGTTTACATTGAAGTTAGTTGAAAGCGATGTGTCTCGCATACAGATGCTAAAGGGCTCCTTCGTCTGTATCAGACAGTGAGGGGCGCTGAATAGCCGGTTGGTATTTGACAAGTCTGGAGTGAGTTCACCTATAAATAATCTTGATAATTTAAGGAAGCATTTTTCCGAGTCATTCTAAGAAGATAAATGTAGGCCAACTACATTTATCCATTACAGGAAACATGGGTAATTAAAAAATACAGAAATTCAATCTTGGAGGTTTTCAAATAACAGCAACAGCAATGTATGGATATATGGATAACGGCTGTGTGTCGTGTGTGTGTTTGAGGCTGATACCTGGCCGGCTGTAATTCTGGGGGGAACGGCAAGGGGTGTAGCGTCCATAGCCCCCCAGGGAGCTGTTAGAGCTGGGGCTGGAGGGCCTCCGCTGACGGGGTGACTTCTCCCCATCGCCCTGGACAAACACATACAATTAAAAAACGTCAGCTCTTTCTAATGAGAAACAAACATTACCTCACTAATCACAGTATCAGACAGGAATGTGAGTGTGGCACAATAAGTCATGTGTAGTTCAGTATGTACAATAATTTATTGGGTGTAATGTAAGTTAAGAGAGTTTATTATGTTTCCTATGTGTTTATGAGGAGGAAGTGTTCATTGTAGTTAAAATTTAGGTTACAGCGTTATTTATCACCAGCTACATTTGTAGACAGTAGATCCAGTGGATCGCCAGTAGGTGTCAGTGTTGCGACATGAGCAGTGTCTACGACGGAGAGCCACAGGGAAGTCTTGCATGAATACGCTAGAGGATGAAAATCTCTGTGTACATGATGGAAGCAGAAAACGCTGTGGAGCGACTGTATATCTAAATGCATACTTTTGTATTTTGCAGAACATTTTCATTAAATGTGTAGCACCAGATTAAGCCTGTGTGACATCATTCTGTGCACCGCTACATGAGCATGACTCCATCTCTAATATATTCCTAATGAGAGGGATCAATGATGTTGCACAAGGCAAGCAATAGATCGATGAAATATAAGGCTAAAGCCAAGATAACGAGGTCAGGGGAAGTATGCATATTGGTATGTCCAGGAGCAAATCAGGTTGATTCAACACATGGATCAACAAAGCTTTTGTCAGAAGTGGCCTTTAATATATGTGCCAAACAGAAATTAAGGCACAAAAATGTGAATAGAAAAATGTTCCAAGTGTTGATCATTATCAGTGATGTACAGTCAGCAGTGAGCTTAAAAACACTGATCGTGTCTCATGTTTGCCAATTTCAAGTCTTATGATAATAAATCATGACATTCAAACTGATTTCAACCTGAATATTAGCTGACTAATACATGGCTAACTCTGGTCCTTATTTAGACGGCCCATTCACCCAAACTACCAAAACACATTTTCTCACTTACCTCTAGTGCAGTCTAACCATGCTGATAGTTTTAGTTTTAGTTGTCCAGGCTTTTATATATCTCCCTCTGAGATTTCGGCATCCATCTCCAATACAGTGTAGGTGAATGGAATTTCCTTTGTGATGCTCAAAGCACTGAAAATGTAGTTGTTTTTTTTGTCATTTCGATGAAATCGCCCTTTCAACTCGACTCCTATTGTAACAGGAAGCTATTGGCAAAGCTTCAGCACTGTAACAGCTCCCTGTCAGGAATACACTGCTTTTCTATAAGGAAGTCAGTAACATTTTGGTGTTTTTTTCGAATTCTCATGATGTTTTGATAGCTAGCTAGTTATGTAAGAAATGATAACCCGATTCTTAAGTGATCTGCCTCAATGCTCTGATTGGTCCTTTGGTTCTCCAACTTGGCTGATGTTGTACCAGAACAACGTGAATGGCTAAACAAACCTGAGATGTGGGCGATGATTGAGCTGCTTTAATTAAAACAGCATCATCTGTATGTATCTAAAACCCATATCAAACCTTTAAGAGCTCTGCATTCCCCTGAGAAAGCCCTTAATTCAAACATGTAACAGGCACACACACACACACACACACACACACAGACAGAAAGGCGCTGTACACTGATGAAGGGCGTGTGACATCCACAGTGAGACACAGAGTATTACCTCATTAGGGGTAGGAGAAAGCAGCTGGGGGGACTGCAAATGAAGAGGGGGGAGAGAAGCCAATGATTAGGACAAACTCATATGTGAGGTTATACGAGTCAACCATCCACACAGGAGATCGATCAATCAATCAATGTCACTGAGTCATGATGATGTGGAATGATGAGCTGAATGAAGTGCTATGAGACTGACTGCACTGCAAAGGAACGGCTGTTTGTGAGAGAGAAGCAAGCATGGTGTTGATGAACTTGAACTGTACGAGTTGATTTTTGTCACTGGATTAGAGAGGTGTGAAGTTAGAAAGAAGTGAAAGATTGTGAGCCGGTCTACCTCTCCGTAGTGCCTCTCCTCAGACGGGTAGCTGACGTATGGAGAGTAGGACAGCATGTCAGGCCTGTCTATGTTATAGATGGCCTTGGTCTTTGGAAGGGCTGCCAGGTCCTTGTAGTCCAGCCTCTCCTCTCCTAGTTTGGCCTGGCAGCAGAGACAAGAAAGCTTTCATCATTTATCCATCATCTCCAGGTATAAATATGTTTTATTCAGCAAAGATGTAAACAGACTGGTGGTGAGTAGAGGTGGTGCAGTCTTACGTAGATGACTCTGCTGGGAGAGCCTGAGGCGCTGGATGCTGGGACTGAAGTTATGCTCTCAGATGAAGTCCGGGTCACCTGAAACAAACACACACACTCAGTTATTTTCAAATATATTGGATACAGTCATTGTGCTGACATTTAAGGTCATGCTTTGTGTGAAAAGATATTTGGTTCTTTTCCTTTAAGCAACCACATTAACCTCTCTTCAGTGCTGCATGTATCCTAGTTAATTAGTTAGATATTGTTTTCTGCATGAATTTATCACATTTTCTTTTAAATTTCTTAATTAACCGATTGACATGTTTTATTTTCATTGTTGGTACATTTTGTTCACCAAAGAGCACATTTTATTTCCATTTTCTGCAAACAGCACATACGTATCACACAGTGATGCTATTAGTGCACGATCAGCACCGATCACAGTTATTGTTAAAGCACACAAGTTGAGGACAGAGTGGACTTTCCTCTTCAGAACAAATTAAATATTGGTAGTTTTTATCATCTTGCATGATCATCAGTTTAGTGTTCGTCAAGTTGTGCGAGTGTCAGACTCTTCAGACACAGATCAAACATGGTACAGATGCAGACTGACACACATCACTCCTCTCTACTTTCTCATTAAATCCCTGTACATGCACAGACTGATGAGCAGAATGTTACAGCTTCATCAGTCACGTAGCTCTGAGAGGTCTTTACAGCTTCTGCTCAACATGAAGCAAATATAGTAGTATGGTGTCAACAGTTAAGAACAACCCATGCAGCAGATGGTTGTGGGTTGAGTGGGGTGCAGGGTGGGTGCAGGGACGTTCACGAGCACCAACCTGCTGCTCAGGGATGTCATTGAGCTGTATCCGGACCTGCTTCTGGGAAGGAGAGGGGTTAAGATGAGGAATGAGGATGGGAGACGTGTCTGTGAGGCTGAAGGGATGCTGATGTAACAGTAAAACAATGGTAATATGTCCTGAACTGAACCCCTCCTCTTCTTCATTGTGATTGGTCACATCCTCCCTGTACTGATTTGTCTATGACAAGTTCAACCTGTCCACCAGGTTGAACTTGTCATAGTTACTAAAACCAATCAACTATTTTGTTAAATATTTCCAAAACTTAGATTTACAGATTTACAAACTTGTAATACTGGTCTAATACTATTTCTATGGTGTGCAGAATCCAGAGGAAAGTGTCTGTTTGTCAAAAGATTTATGAAAAGGGTCTTACTACTCCCCAAAAGCTACATTTCTTGGTAGTTACAGTATTGTATTCTTGTTGGCTACAGTATAACAGTATACAGTATTTTGCACTTTGAAAACTTTCCGTTTTCATTCAGCCCCCCAGACTATGACTGTGGTTGGATAGATCTGTTTTGTACAAACAAAGACATTTTAGACATTGACCTTTGGCTGCTTACTGATCCAGATTAGAATACAAGAAAGCCAAAGATGTCTGTAAAGTTGCTGAGTAATTAAAAGTTTTAGTGCTAATGAGGGAGGTCAAAGACAACATCAGAAAGTACTTTTACATTCTTAGTCTTTAATTGTAACTGCTAAAATGTACAGCTGCACAATCAAAAAAAGCAACAGCATCTCAAATATTCCCACATGGCATCCAATGGATCTACTTTGTTTCTATTTGAGGATGTGTAAGAAATAGCCTTGAGCATCTCTTTGACAAGTATACAGTAGTGGCTCGGCCGTCTTTCCCACCCACCTTACTCTTCTCCTCCTGCTTGGCTGCTTGTCTGCATGGTGGATGCCAGATAGAAGATCCTAAAGATGCAGAGACAAAGACAGGAACTGTCAGATTGTTTCCAACTTTTCACACATGTCCATTTACGTTGTCACTAGGGACGACAATGGTGGTTGGTTGAACTATCTCAGCAACTTTAGAATGAGTTTAGACAGCCATGATCCTCTTTCAGCTGTCAGGGGAAAATGGAGCCCTTCAGACTCCGACAGAACACCCCTGACTAACCAGTATACTGACTAGGGTATGGTAGTTATTCAATTGTATTATATATTAAACTATTATACTACAACTACAACAATGGTCGTAGGTACGGTATGTTTACTGTTTACATTGTCATTTTGAGTCAAATTGTTCTTTTATAGTTTCTATTTGTGTTCTATAGTTATTTTGTTATTTTATATACTTTCTTTATATTTCTCTATGTATCTGTTTTTATTTCTGTTGTTGTGCTGCTGTAACACCAGAATATCTCCTCTGGGTTCAATAAAAGCTTGTTTTATAACATTTTTGGGATTCCCTGAATTTTCATCTGGTGCCATCTTCAGGTCAAAATGTCACCAAGACTTTTGTGACTGAATACCGATAAAAGTAATGACATTTATTTATCCTCAGCTGTAGCCTACTTTGTGTACGGGCCAATTAGTAATTATGAATTAGTAAATATTAGCTTAACATCATTGTCCTTGTCGAGACTTCTTTGTAGTTGTTTGTGTAATATTTTTCTTGCCCCCCGTTTAGTTGCTTGTTCTGTTTTCAGTTGTATGGTTACTATAGCTAGCTTTATACAACTATTTTACATTCTGGCATTAGAAAAGAAAGTACACGTTGATTAAAAAAGTGATATGCACTGCTGACATTGATTCAAGATGAAATTTTCTGTTGCATTTTCTTTCATAGTAATGGTTTCAGAAATATTTTCCTCACCACTACATCAATTCACCCCACAGTGACAAGTAACTTCAGTGACAGTGACTTCAATAAGAGTTGAAGTGAATGGAGCTCACATGTTAGTGCCACAGCAGCAGTAAATAACACCTCCATGAGTGTGGCAGAATTCCTTTTCCAAACGGCTAACCCAGTCCATGAGGAACAAGGAGAGCCACAATACATTGGGTTTAAACTGTGACTTGGTGAGAGAGAGGAAATAGAGACTAAAGACAGCTGTTGACAGTTTAGGGACAGGAAGAAAAGAGTGAAGCCAAAGGTGACAAATAAATGATGTCACCATTAGAACTTTGGCTCTTCTTTAGCTTCTTATTCTCTAACAATAGACAGTCATGTGCTTTAGGATTGAATCCTTTGTGGTCAGGAAGAAACAGAAGTTCAACCTGCTCTGACATTTGGAGTTATAGGTTACTTAAAGATCTTTAAGATAGAAAACTGATTTTAAAGGTATTTGTCTCAAGTCCCAAAAACTGATTTTACCTTGTAGGTACATTTCTTCTCCCTCTGCAAACATCTGCTCACAGCGGGCACAGCGGGCACATGTGGGGTGGTAGTGCTTCTCTCCAGCCTGTTGAGCATTAAACAAGGACAGGTTATGACCATGTAACACACTTTGTTGGTTTTGGTTACTTTAGGGGAATTGTTAATTCTTTGTATTGCTCTTTGATAAAGTTGGAGGACTCACAACAGAAATAATGTCAAAGCAGAAGAGCCCAGATATCCTGACTTTTAGTCCATATGAAAAACAGTGTCCTACACTTCCCATAATGCAACTCGATAGCATCTTTTCATCAGGCATTCCCTAAATTTGTCACTTTTTTCCCTTCTTTTCCTGGCAGAAGTTGTCTTCTGTAGATGAGGGATCCATATATTCCACACAGTCATATACTCGCTCACTGTTAGCCTATCTGCCTGTGGTTGTTTAGGCGTCATGGCAATATGATGTATCGGCATTATTTGACCCAAGTACAGTCTTGACAATGAAAACCAACCAATGCAGCACAGATAAAATAAAAAACGAACAGTCTTAGTGGATTTCACAGCTGAGTGCTGTCGCCTGTCCCTCACAGTTCATAATGAAACACCTATGTATACATACACTTACTCTCTGCATGTCTAAGGGGACACTTTATAGAAAAATAGAAAAATGCTGATGAAAAAATAATTAGCCCTGATAGCATTGTGTCTTGTCTAATTAGCATTGCTTGATTGAAGTGCCACCATCTACAAACAACAACAAAGAAGAGGTTGTTTTCTCATTTAGCCACAGGGTGGAGCACTGGTGCTGAGTACAGTGCCCTACAGATGCATTCAGTGCAGACAAAAATGCGAGAGTAACATGAGTGCGATTTGAGTATGATTCATTTACTTGTGACTGATCAGTATTCATCAAAAGCAAATAAAAATTCCAAGGAACATATACTATATATAGAACAGTAACAGCTTTAGTATTAATGGTGAAATTGTCCTTTAACACTTCAACTCAAATTGTCCAAAGCCTCCTGCAAATTTCCTAATAAACTTAACAGTGAGTAGGCAGCGGCAGAGCATGTGTTTAGCATGGTGATATTACATGGCTTGACATTTAGAAGCTAATGGGGGAGATATGTTATCCAGATCTTGAGTTAGAATCCACAAGTCCGTGTGAGGGGAGTGGGTCGTCATGGTGGGGATGGTTGGTCTGTGATATTGCTTTGAAGTTATCTTGTGAATTGTTCTTGGGCTTGTGAAACCATAGGGCCACTGGGATAAAGAGGTCTTCAGGGGTCCAAGTGGTCCTCTGAGACCCAAACTGGGCCCCGAACTTGGCCGGTCGAAAATACTGCTGGCAGTGTTGGTGTTCGCGCTCTTCTATTGGGAATTCTTTGGGTCTATTCAAATTTGCTCTGACTGTCCTTGGGTTCCTCTGGATCAAGTTTCTTTGTTTTGAAAAGTTATTTAGTGTATGCGTGCATGTTGAGTGTGGTTGAGTGAAGACCTCTACTACTGGGAGCAGTTAAGCAGTTTCAGTGCCTTGTTCAAGGGCACTTCAGTAGTAGTTGCTATGGCTTTCTTGACTAGATTTTTCAATCTCGGATTGAAACTGGCAAATCTTTAGTCCAAAACCTAATATTCTTGACAAAATCACCTCATTTTTAACAAGTCATCCAGTCTGTAAGTAATCCAAATACTATTTCACTTGCTCAGTGTTGATTTTCTCAATGCTAGAGTCTTATTCTGTCTTGTATTCGAAACACCATTGGAATCAAGTAGAATGATCTGACTCTGTTGGCAGATTTTCTTGTTTAGAACATGTTTGATTTATGGACTAAATAATGAACTAAACGACTCAAGATGGATACTTTTTGTCTCTCTTTTTCTCTTCTTGCAAAACAGTGCTCTGATGTCTGCTGATCTCTGCCTCCCAAAGGCATCCCATCTGCCTCAACAGCGGCCTGATTACTCACAATCCCTCTGAGGTCCCTCCACTTTGCTGCGTCATCTCAATATGGAACCACACCAGCAAACAGGCAGTCGACACCCTATTTCTTGGTCAACATCCTGCTTAATGCTTATCGAGACAAAATTGGCAGCAGATGGAGAGAGGAAGCAACCAGAGACATGTAGAACTGATGAGCAGGGAGACTCCAAGTCCAGGTATTATTGGGAGAAAAACTGGCAGCATGTTGTGGACGCCATGCCAAAAGCTCATATTTGAACTGAACTGAAACAGATAAGATAGACGGAGAACTTGAGAAAAGTTAAAAGGCTGGAACTGGATCGGAATCCAAACACCGAGAGGGCCGGAAAAGAGATAGCACTGCAAGCAAATCCTTCCTTTGTCACAATCCAAGGCTGCATGAGGGGGAAATGATCCTATTCAATGTCCCGCGGGACTGATTGGTCAAGGAAGAGAAGAGGGGAGATGAACTTAAAAGCTGATCATTGGAAGGTTTACTTAGGAATGGTAACTCTGGCTGACCAGCTGTAGCTGGATGTGGTTTGTGGCTGAGACTCCTGCAGGGCTTAGGAGTTTTGAAACAGCTGTGGTAAAGAGCAGGAAGAGATCATAGCAGCCAAGTGGTGAAAGGGCAGGTGAGGTTGCTACCTCCTTATGTACCCTTTTACATACTGACCATCTGCTTTCTCAAAATGACGCTCTCTTTAATAACCTGTACATATCGTCATCTAGCAATCGCAGAAATAGTTAGGCGAGAGAGGTGAAGATTGAAATAGATTTTGATCAGTCGGGCATGGCTACAGCACAAACACAGAGAAAACCACATGCTTCCATGCTCTTTTCATGCATCAAGTCAAGTGTAGCTACATCAAACTGTGTTTGGGGCATTTTCTACTCTAAAATAAATGTCTGTTTCCTTTCTATCTGACTCACTGCCTAATCAAACAAAAAATAAATGCAATCTATATCCAGTTCAAGCTTTTACAATACATGTTACAAGTACTGTTATACTCACACTCAAGGCATTAGTATGCTTAAAATGAAGAAGGTTGGACTCTTGTTGACAGACCAAAAAGACACCAGTGTACCTCTTCTATGGCCACACTCAGAGGTAGGATAAAATGTGGATGATAACGCATACTCTTAAAGTCTCTCCTGGAAAGTATTCAGGGTCTTGCACTCGCTTCTAAAAATGGAAAGTGACAGAAGTAGCTGTTTGAAGAATGAAAACACTCTGTTCCTCTGCATAGATGTTTCAGACATCGCTGGCCAATCCGCTATGCATTTTACATACAGCATGATGAGGCTTTATCTCACATTCAGGGTTAACATTTCCAGCTTGCTTGGAACAAACACAAGAGTTCAGTAATCAGCGTTGAGAGTGAACAGAGCTACCTGCATATGATCAGCTTTGCCCGGCATGAGCTTTTCTTTTCTCACAGAGATAGCGACGACACTGAACCTAAAGGCAGCGCTATCTTGGATGTTACATCTTACTTGGATTTTATGCCTTGCCTGCCTCAAAGTTCAATACGTTTAATAAACTTTGACCACATTTGTCAGAGACCTTTCAAAGTACAACCAGCTGAGTTTACAGCTGTCTGTAACACAAGATAACATGACCAGTGATGGACGCCTCAAACCCGTCTTCATAGTTGGGTTCTTACTGAACTTATTCTCCAAAGGACAATCATTTCCAGTGCATTCTGGAAACTGTTAAACTGAAACACAGTCTTTACTGGGCTTGTTGTTTAAATCCCCTGCCACTCACTGTGTTCACTCAGTTGTAAACCACTGAGCTCTGTGCTCCACGTTTGGTGAGCATTCCACATTCTGCTGATACAGTGCAAAGGGAAGGGACATCACATCACCCACTCACACTACGTGACTGACAGGTGATTTCTGGAATAGCAATAAATCAGAGCACAGCCACAGCAATGAGCCGCCGGGCAACAAAGCTGTCGGCACAAACAATACACAACGTTTCAATTCAACCTCTGCCAGCTCCAGTTAATGACTCCATACGTCCACACAAAGCACACTCTTTGATCTCAACCAAATGTCATGACATTTTGAATGCTCAGTCTCTCTGTTACTGTTTCAAAGTGCAGCACAGGTACAGTGGCTGGAAATAGCTTCTATACTGAAACACTGAGGCATTTGATTTAAAAATAACAAAGGATACCAAAGAGCTATTTACTAAGCATGCTAGAATCTCTCGGAGGAATTACACTATAGACATTTTGATTGAATGTTTTGAATGTAGAATTATCTTTAATATCATACAATATTAACCTGAAACCTTCCTTTCCACTCCTTGCGGAAAGAGGAAAACTTGCCTTCAGCAAAACAAAACATAAGACCACTCCCCCACTCCCTACTGACACACAACCAAAACACACACACACACACACACACACACACACACACACACACACACACACTTTATAGGAGCAGGTGCTTTTAGTCCTGCTTGACTGTCTTCTGCTCAAGAAACTATAGGACCACATAGTTAGGTATACACATGATAGCGTGACACAATACTGTAGGAAATGGAAGTGGATGATGTCATCTACACACAAATACACACACTGCTGTTCTTATGTTCCTGTTGCTCTCCAGACACTGGAACATGATAGGTGTTTATGAAAGGAGAGCATGGGAGAGACCGCCATGTGAAGAGAGAAAAGAGAGAACTTGAGAGAGAGCGGTTGTTGTTTGTCCCCATAGTGCTGCTCTGTTGTCCCGAGATCACAGCAGGAGCTTCCGAGACCCCCTGTCTAAAAGCTTTTTTCTCCTCCTCCTCCTCTCATCCCTCTCTCCGCCCAAAGAGAGTATCCCATGTCCCATCCCTCCATCACCGCTTAACAAGACTGCTTCACTAGAACCACATTCCCCTGCATTGATTTCTACCTGCCTCTCAAATGGACTCTTTCTCAACCACTCTGTTAAAATCTGTCTTCTTTTTAAAACAAAATATCTGAAACCATCTCACCCCAATGTCAGATATTTGGCCCCATTTCACGGTCTGTTGGTTGACAGTATTTTGGTCACACAAGGCACATATACAGTGAAGCTCTGTCTTTCTCCTCGTCTCTTTATAGAGTCTATTGCTTGCAAAAGGCCCACAAATTGAACTGGGTCTTACACAAGCATACAGTATAATGACACACATTAAGTCAAGTGACTGGTTGACAGTGAAAACCTGGGTATTACGTGTCAAACAACATTTTTTTATTGGACAACGCTGACATTTCCAAAGGGACGCAAGTGGAGTGTGTAATCTGTCCTGTAGCTGTGGACGATTTCTAGAACAGGAAGCTGTGTGGCTTTATTTTAGGCACACAGAGACAGACCTGAGAGTGAGGGACAATGAACGGATGACCTGCCTGAGGGGGGAGGACAGTAAACAGGGAGACGTAAAATGTGTGTGTGTGTGTGTGTGTGTGTGCAGTAGAGAGTGAGGTCAAAGCCATAAGCCCAGAGCCAAAGAGAGAGAGAGAGAGACAGAGACAGAGACAGAGAGAGGCTGGTTGATC